AATTCCAAAAACTATCCAGGTCCATACCTTCAAGAAATGGCAGTTCTCGGCAACTCCAGGCGTCCCAAAGGTGTTCGTCTGGCAGCCCACCGCAATGACCAGATAGTCGTAGTCTATCTTAAACTCAACGTGAGGCCTCGGCGGTTTCGTTTCAGCACAATCTACGCACGTTACAGTCTTTGTGACGTGGTCGATGTTCGTGCATTCTGCTTCACAATACATAACATTTCGGTGTGCCTGTACGTAACGCAGCCAAGAAGAAAATGATAAGGCCAAGAAAAAAGAAAAGAAACATAAGAAACAAGGCCAGTATACTCACAACTATTCTTCGAACAGGCTCCGTAATGCTCCGTGGTTCCAAAGTTCCAGCAGTGACGCTAGGCAGCAAGGGCGTGAAAACAAAATAGTTCCTGGGCGAGATGACAACCACGTCGTATTGCTTGTCATCCAAATCTTTCAAGAGACTGACACCTGCCCAGCCAGTGCCAAGTATCACGATCTTCTTCTTTTTACCAGTACTTTTGTCTTGAGCCACAGCCAGCGGCGGATTCCACACATCGTCACTGATCGCAATCGCAAGGCCTACAGCACTGGCAAGAAAATCCTTGTGAGACTTCTAAAATGAAGCACACAGAGGGAGAGATAGATCTTACCTTACTGCGACGAGCGCCGCGGCAGCAAAACTCCACGATCTATGGCGCTCCTGCTGCCAGTACGATCTAAGCCTACTGCCGTGCAATAATCCTCGATCGGCGCCCGAGCAGAAAGATCGAATGCGATGCGAATTCTCTGCTACAAGATACCAAGGCGGCGAGTAACTTCCCGATCCAGCCCTACTCCATGTCCTGGAATGCAATGCCGAGCGCTGGAGGCGTCGTAGCGCGCGCATTGTGGACCAGACTCCTCACATTCCCATCGTCAATGCCAAGAGCCCTAAATAAACCTAGCCTGACTAGATCTTACATCGACGGTGGAACTTATGCCCGCGAAGCACTAGCATATTCTACGAATATTTACAAACTTTTAAAGCTTGCCCATTTGGGCGGTATTGAAGTAGAAGTGGGAGAGTTTTCGCTGGAAGCCCGTGCTCATCGCTCGCGAGCCAAAGCCACTGTATTGTTTCTCTTTGCTCGCGATGCAAACTTCCAGGATCTTCTTGAGCATGCTCCGGCTCTGGAAGAAATCCTGGGCTCCAAATTCTGACAATGACATCCACTGCAGATCGATCACTTATGTTAGATCATTTCTTTCTGGAGTAGAGATTTATGATCTTACCTTGGCATCCTCGATTTCCGAGTCTTGCTTGGTTATCTCCGACGAGAGAGGTCTAAGAACGCACACGAAGAACAAGTCCGACTTCTCGAAGGCTACGTGATGACCCTGCCTAAAACCCACGACTTCTACGAACTCCGTGTCGATCTGGAAGATTTGTCAGGAAATACCAAAGAAAAAGCCGTGTCATTCACGAGTATGACTGTAATTTCAAAGCATTACCCCAGTTTCTTCTTTGACTTCTCGTATAGCACCCGCAAAAATGTCCTCGGCCTGTAATTAAACAAGACGGAAAACGTTTACTTTCTAATAGAGACCAAAAGACTAGTTTTCTACACCTGGTTGATCAATCCTGTAGGCATTTTCCAAATCCCTGTGCCTTTCAGCGGTCCATTTTTCTCCTGGACCGCGAGAACCTGCGAGAACACCGATGAGTATTGCTGACCCTTTCTAAAAAGGCGAGTTCTTACCTCGTCTCTGTCGTTCACGACGAATGCTCCAATTCCAACTTGGTGTGAGGCATTCGCTGGCAGCGTGCAGGGAGAATCGGCAAGCCAGTGCGTGAGCATCAAATACGTTGGCTCCGCATGGTGGTATCTAAATCCTGCCTGTCCAGCCTCTAAGAAAAAATAGAACAATGTTTAAGAAGCAAAAGTACCTCAATCGCGTGTGGAACGAGAATGGATTTCTCTATGGGCAACTTGAGCCAAACACCTCTTTTTTGCTGAAAAATTCAAGCGTGAGATAGCTAGACAAACACTAAACAAAGAATGTAAACCAGACCTTCTCTCGCCAAGATGCAAGAGACCTCTCCAATCGATAAACGAAAGTTGGAACATCGGCTGGTAGGCTGTCGGGATCAACGATGACTCCATTGTACCTATCCTCGTGGACGCGAAAAACAATGGAGTCGGACGATCCTTGGTTTGATTTCAAGACGTCGTCCTGTGTGGAAACCTCGTCTTCGATCGGCAGAGGCGCCACTCCCAGAGAAGAATGCTCCGCGAGCGGCATTGCCGAGCTCGTCACACACAGCGTCCGATGCGTGCTCTCTTTCGGTGCTGTGTGACGCGTTCTTGGAAGCAACACTCGATTCGCTGCAAGATTTCGCCATCGATTCAATCAGGAACAAGAAATTCACGAGAATCGGGCAATATTTCAGGAGAAACGATCCGGAGAACGATATCGAGATAGAGATTTCTACCTGGAGGCGAGCTGACGATGGCGAACAGCGCGATGCGCGATAGATCTAATCGAGAGGGAGGCCGCGCTCCGCTCACCAGCATCATCCAAGACGCATTGCGCTCTAGCCCTCCCCAACGAGGGTTTTAAAAAAGCACGTTCTAGTACTTGACAAAAGGCATGATACTCGTGCTTATAAATTCGAATCTTTTGTACGCCTCTTTGTGAAGCATGACAAAGATATAGCGACCTCTTCTACTCAATTTCTAGCACAAGAACACAATCTCTCGGGAGTAAATTCATCACAGGGATATAGACACCATTGTCAGTTAGCTTTCGCTGGAGATTTGCGAAAATCCAAATCCAGCAAACGTTTCCTGTCAAGGCAAGATAAACACTCTTGAGCGAACAGTGAACAAAACAGGGAATGCTGCTTACATTCTCATCGATGATCCCGTAAGCAACACAGTAGTGCTCCTGCAGTGGAATTGAGAAACTAGAATTCACAGGAGAAAAACTCTTTTACCTGCATGATATGCCATTCCTCAAACTCGTCAAAGATCTCCAGCCTCTCGATCCTGACAAAACGAAAAGCTCAAAGTTGGAAGCGCATAAAAAACTGAAAAACAGTGAGTTGATTACCTTCTCCTCTCGACAGGATCGATGTGACGATTGTAGATTTCGTCCATATCCACCGCCACTGCCCTCTGTCGGCGTTGAAAGAATTATTTAGTACTTCACAATTGGAACAAGGACGATTCACCTTCCATCCTGTTTCTAAGAACCGGTTCATCTTGGACTCGAGCGTAGATGTATCGTGAATTCCCAGTAAAGGACATCCACGGCTCTATGAATGTAAGATAGTTCATCAGTGAAAACGTTGCATCTCAGAACAAAGTTTTACCTCGAGATTTCGTATCATTTGTTGCCCAAAGGCGTCCTCTCCATGGATCTGTGGCTGAATTAGACGACGCAAAAACTGATAGCAAAGAGCTCACTTGTTCATATGCTACAAATACTGCATTTGAGAACTTGCTCGCGGCCCATCTTAAAAGTGCACGACTAGCCTCTGGATCCATGTATATCAAAACACATTCCGCAAGAATCAGGGTCGGTAGACTGCAGTTAAAAAAAAAAAAGACGTCAGCACGAGAAACAAGGCTCATCTTTGGGTCGAGAGAATTACCTTAAGTCCAAGTTCGCCTTTTCGCAGACAGCATCCAGCCTTGCGGTGTCTGTTAGATCACAAGCAAAGAGCTTGTAGTGCTCACTGCTTATTTCCCCTTTTTCTGCAATCCTATCCATTCAATCGTAAACAAGATAAGAAAAAAAACCTGGCACAAAGTCAGCACAGAAACGCACCGGGGGCGAAGACTGGCGAATCAAGGTGTCTTGCCGTCTCTTTGCACGCCGCAACGATCATAGCCTTTTTACTTGTCACCTCCAAGAAATCCACCTCCATAAAAACATCTGGAGCATTTTCTTCCTCCTGTTAATAGCGTGAGCTGAACTTTCATAGCAATGAAAAAAAGCTCACCTTGAGTTGAAAGAACGTTGTATCAAAACCAGCTCCCAGAGAAACTATCTGCTTCCTTTTCGAACTGGGTTGAGAAAGGAACTGCATCAAGAGCGCCCGTATAGCAGCCCATCGAGCAAAGTATCCTGAAGAACAAAGTTATTGAAAATCGCAAAGAACCATCATACGCATACCTCTGTTGATCAAGGGTGACCTCTTAACAGGTCTTCTCACGAAATACTGAACGTAGTTGTCTGTCATGTAGCCTTTCCTTACACAGGATCTAAAGTTGAATCAAGTTAGCTCAGAAGGAACAGATAGTGGCTCTCATACGATTGAAACTTCAGCATCAAAAACTCAGCATAGCGTATACACAAACAAATCATAGAGCCAGAATGCTATCATCAGGTACAGGTTCACTCGCATTCATGGCCAGGCCATGTAGGAAGGTGTCCTAAGATGCTATTTTCTGTATCATCACTTGATAAAAAGGGGCTAATGCCGATGAAATGCTCGTCAGCTCAGGTCTCCAAAGTTTTCTACACGCTCTCTCGAGCGATCAGTAGAAAGCATCAAAAGGTTTTCATCAATCGAGCCTTATAAGAAAATGAAGAAGCTTTTCTCTGATTCAGAATTGCAGAAAGCCATCACAGACAAATCAGTCCAAGTGTTGGATGTGAAATCTGATTCATCATCATCATCTCAAACAAGAAAGGAAAATCCACTCTTTCACTCTTCAGCACCAAATCTCTTCTCTACAAACACCATTCTGGTGTTCAGTAGAACGAAAGTTGTAGATTTTGATGCTCATCACGAGAGAAAATGACAGGGGGAGGGAGAGAGAAGAGATTTACTCACAGCTTGCTCGCGGAGGCATCGTCATTGGTCGCCTGGACCGCTGCGCGGCTACTGCTCGCGCGAGGAGGAGCCGCCATGGAGCACAAGCCCTAACCAAAAACCCTAGCTCAATCCTAGTTTAATACTATTATCTTATCGATTAGAAGGAAATTTGGAAATAGAATAGGCTGCACAGAAATCATGATCCAGGGGAAATTATCATAGCTAGCTAGGGTTCTTCGCAACATTCGCTACTCGATCGCCGTGGCTAGCAGCTCAGCTTAGCGATTAGCTCTTGCATTGAGTGCGATCCAGCGGCGATGGCGTCGATGACATCCGACATGATCGAATCGGTGCAAGAAGCTCACAGATTGGATGAGATTTCGTTGCTGGATTATCTCCACCGATCTGTGGAAGGATTTCCACCGCGGCCGGTGAAGCTCACAGTCTCCCAGGTAAAAATCACTGAATTTCTTCTTCCTGGTGTGGTGATCGTTTTTTTAGTTTGGACACGGGCAATCCAATCCTACTTATCGGTTAAAAGCCGAGGGTGGCAATGCTGTGAAGTTCTATGTTCTTCGCAAAAAGCCTCCTGGGAAATTGCTCCAGTCGGCACACGCTGTGGAGCGCGAATACCAGGTGCCTGTTCATAGCTAGTTCATGGTTTCTATCTTTGATTTTCTCTTCGTCTCGAAGGTTTTGGCTGCTCTTGGAAAAGAAGGAACTGTGCCAGTTCCCAGAGTTTTTTGCCTTTGCAACGATCCGAGTGTCATTGGCACGCCATTCTACGTTATGGACTATGTCGAAGGCCGCGTTTTCCTTGATCCTGGACTGAAGGTAAAATCTATATCTTGGACTGACTACCACTTCGTGTTGGATCATCCAGAGCGTCAAGCCTGAAGAACGAAAGGAAGTTTACCAGGCCATGGGCAAAACGCTTGCTGCTATTCACAAAGTTGACGTCGATCGTGTCGGCTTGGGAAAGTTTGGGCGTCGCGAAAACTACTGTAAGCGACAGGTATGGCTTTGGTTTTGTTCTTCGTCGTTCCAATTCGAAATTTCTACTCGTCATGTAGATTGAGAGGTGGGCATCGCAATATGCTGCGTCCACGGCTGAAGGAAAGCCACCCGCGGAACCTTCCATGCTGAAACTTACAATGTGGCTGAGAAGTAACGTGCCAGCTGAGGATGCTCGGAGAGACTGTGCGGGAATAGTTCACGGCGATTATAAAATCGACAATCTAGTTTTCCATCCAACTGAGGTTTGTTCATCACTCTGTTTTATGTTCGTCGTTCATCGTGAATACTTCAGGCCCGCGTCCTGGCGGTTTTAGACTGGGAACTTTCGACTCTCGGAAACAGAATGTCCGATGTTGCTTATAATTGTATGGTACGTTTTTGCTGATTGTTACTAGTTGGATCACTGAAAAAATCGGTGCAGCAGCCATATGTTATAGACAACGGCAAGAGCGGCGGTCCGGGCTACTATGGCTTTGACAAAGGGGCTCCCTCCGATGGTCTACCCACACAAGAGGAGTTTGTTGCTACCTATTGTGCCCAAGGAGTAAGTCATATCTTTGTTTTGTTTTGGTCTAATGGTTGTTTAAAACTCAGGGAGCATCATGGCCTGGGCCTAACTGGAAGTTTTATCTAGCTTTGTCTCTTTTCAGGCTTGCTGCAATTTCTGCAGGCGTGTATAATCGGTTTTTGCTTGTGAGTTCTTTCAAATTTGTTTCAAAAAACCGACTTCGGGTTGATTATTGTTGAAGGGAAATGCTTCGGGAGGGAAACGTGCAGAATCTAGTGGCAAGTTTGCTTGTTATCTAGCGTCATGTGCACTTCAGTTGATCAATGGTGGACCTATTATTTCTGATGTTCCACCTTCATTTGCGAAAATTGGTTAGTCGTCTTTTCTATTTCTTACTTCCTATCTTCTTAAGAGCCTGTTTTTGTATGACAGGGAACAAGCATCCAGGTCTGTCTCCGTCGTCCAGAGTTTTACGGCTTAAAGAACAACTTGCGACTTTCATGGAAAAATACATTTACCCAAACGAGGAACTTCTATCCGCTCATGCGAAGACGGAAAAGAGGTGGACAGTCCACCCGCTGCAAGAAGAGCTAAAACATCGTGCTCAAGCCGAGGGCCTTTGGAATCTGTGGATCCCAGTAAGTGTGGCGTTTTTTATTTTCCTTTGCAATGTTTCTTACGGATTTTCCAGGCCGACAGTGCAGCAATGGCCTCCAAAATCTTGTTTGACACGGACGACGCTCAAAACTTTGACAGGCTAGTTGGCGCGGGCCTCAGCAACCTCGAGTATGGACACCTCTGCGAAATAATGGGACGCTCGGTATGGGCTCCTGAAGTCTTCAATTGCAGCGCTCCCGACACTGGGAATATGGAGGTGACTAGCAATCTTAAATTCCAACAGAGAGAAACGTGACCGAGGTTTTTGCAGGTTTTGTTACGATACGGCAGTCCAGAGCAGCAAAAGGCATGGCTAAAACCTCTTCTCAAGGGAGAAATACGGTCAGCTTTTGCCATGACGGAGCCTAATGTTGCTTCTTCGGACGCGACGAATATCGAGTGCAAAATAACAAGGTTCTTTTTCTGAAGTTGCATGTTTTGTTTTATACTTGAACCATTAAACTCCAGGGATGGAGAACATTATATCATCAATGGACGAAAGTGGTGGACAAGCGGAGCTATGGATCCTAGATGTCGCATTTTGATAGTCATGGTTAGTACGACCTTCATTTTGGTAGTCTTAAGTTTTCTGTGCTTTCTTCTGTTAACAGGGAAAGACTGATGTCAATGCGCCCTTGCACAAACAACAGTCTATGATCCTCGTTGACATCAAAACTCCTGGCGTAGAAATCATACGACCGCTAACTGTCTTTGGCTACGACGATGCCCCGCATGGACATGCCGAGGTGCTTTTCAAAGACGTGAAAGTTCCTGCGACGAACATCCTATGGGCCGAAGGACGTGGTTTCGAGATTGCCCAAGTATTGATTCCTTCTAAGAAGTTTATTCATGTCTAAAAACATTTATCCTCGCAGGGAAGACTTGGGCCGGGACGACTCCACCATTGCATGCGCTTGATCGGATCCGCTGAGCGAGCTTTGGAGCTGATGGTTCACAGAGCATTGCAACGAAAGGTGTTTGGAAAGCTCATTGCTCAACAAGGAGCGTTCTCTTCGGAGGTTTCCCAGGTAAGCTTTTCACGTCGTTTTTTTCCAGACTGAGCTCTCTTGTGAGCAGTGTCGCCTGGAGATCACACAAACGAGACTGCTAGTCCTTCACGCGGCCAACGAGCTTGACAATCACGGAGCAAAGGTTGCACGGGGCGCTCTTGCAATGGCAAAAGTAAGGCCGTGTTGATAAGATCATAGCTTCCGGACTGATGAAATGTGTGTTTCAGGTCGCTGCTCCCAGAGTTGCTCTCAAAGTTCTGGACTCCGCCATCCAAGTTCACGGTGGAGCTGGAGTAAGCTCAGACACGGTGCTTGCGCACTTGTGGGCAGCAGCAAGAACGCTGAGAATCGCGGACGGTCCAGACGATGTCCATCTCCAAACCATCGCCCGGTTGGAGCTCAAACGAGCAAGAATCTGAGTTTGTTGTAATTACAACCGTTAGATTGGAGATATTCTAGAATATAATATTTTAGGAATCTTCTGCTTCAAATAAAAAGCCCGATGACTAAACCCTAACCAAAGCCCTATGGCATCACTGGCGCATGCGGCGTCTTGGAATGCGGCAATGCTGCCGCTCACCCGCGGCATTTCTAGAATCTCCTTCCTCAAGGATCTCGGCGGCTGCGATTCCAGCGATCTCTCATGGAGCGCGAGCAATCGCAGCAGACTTTGCATCGCTCGGTGCGGCGCTGCCTCGCGAGTCATCGAGCCATCGGCGGCGGCGCAAATTCCCAACGCGCCTCCTCCGAGAGCTCCTCCTCTGTAAGAATGATCTTCTCTTCTCTGGAAATTTCAATTTCTTCTATTTTTTTTTTCCTTACATGCTAAGGATCCAACGCTACACCATATCAGTGTTTGTGGGCGACGAGAGTGGAATGATCAATCGAATCGCTGGAGTTTTCTCACGTCGGGGATACAATATAGAGTCTCTGGCAGTGGGACTTAACCGCGACAAGGCACTCTTTACGATCGTTGTCTCTGGGACCGATCGTGTTCTACAGCAAGTGATGAAGCAGCTATACAAGCTTGTTAATGTCCGAAAGGTGCCATCTCTTTCCTGTTTTCTCTTTTTTTCTTTGTGTGTTTCAAGGTTGGGCTTTCTTTCAGGTTGAGGACTTGTCGAAGAAACCAAGAGTAGAACGAGAACTCATGTTGTTAAAAGTAAACGTTCCTGCTGCTCAAAGAACTGAGGTACGCATTTTTCTTCCTCCTTTTATTTTATTTTTTTGCTTCTATGTTTATACACTTTAAAAATGAAAAGTTTTAGGTGCTTGGTCTTGTCGATATCTTCCGAGCGCGAGTAGTAGATGTGGCCGAGGATTCTCTAACTCTGGAGGTTTTTTTCGTTTGTAGCATTGTGAAAATCTCTCTTACGGCATGTGTCTAGGTGACAGGGGATGCTGGCAAGCTAGCCTCTCTAGAACGAAGAATGACCAAGTTTGGGATCAAAGAGCTCGCAAGAACTGGAAAGGTAATGGAGATTGGTTCTTCATTTTAGCTATCGGTTTTTTATCCCAGATATCTTTGCTCCGAGACAAGTCGGAAGAGGTGGTGGCACCCCCAATTCTACCGCAAGCGACGAGTGTGAGCTCGCTTACCAAAGTGTCCGATTTGGAAAAGCGGGCATCTGAGAAAGTTGTGACAGACATTCCCATGACAAGCTCAAGCGCAGAGGTAGGCTCTGTGTACTTCTTCCGCAGGCAGTAATGTTTTCTTTTGGTTTTGTGCTTTCAAAGGGTGATGTTTACGCTGTGGAGTCTGATGACGAGGGCGTTTGGTCTCACCAAGTTTTAGATCCTGATTGGGGAGACGTTGAAGCGGCAGAAGTATTATGTTTTTCTCTTGGTTTTCATTTAAACCGCTTTCTTTCTCATTGCAGCCGAATGGTTATATGTCGCACACGTTATCAATGGTGGTGAACGATGCTCCTGGAGTTTTGAATCGTGTGACTGGTGTGTTTGCCAGACGGGGTTATAACATCCAGGTACTCCTTTCGTGTTTTTTCTTAGCTATGAACTTCGCTCTTGGTTTTTATGATCTTGTAGAGCCTGGCTGTTGGCTTGTCCGAAAGGCAAGGCATCTCGCGCATCACGACCGTGGTACCTGGCACAGACGAGTCGATTCGAAAGCTTCTTCATCAACTTTCCAAGCTCATCGACGTTGTTCAGGTAAGTAGCAAAAGCAAATTTTTTTTGGGATCATCCAGTCTTAAAACGCGAACAGGTCCAAGACATCACGCATTTACCATTCGCACAACGAGAGCTAATGCTGATAAAAATCTCGGCTTTGCCATCCGCGCGGCGCGATATACTCGACATAGCCAACGTTTTCCGTGCCAAAACAGTGGATTTATCGAATCGAAGCATCACACTGGAGGTACTCGCTCGCTTACCTTCTGTGCACGTAGAAGCTAAAACTTGCACTCTAGTTGACGGGAGATCTCGAGAAAATGGCTGCTCTTCAGCACTTGCTAGAGCCTTATGGAATCCTCGAGGTATTAACAGTGTTTCTAGAGAACATTAGTTCTAAGTTTTCTCGTCCACAGGTTGCGAGAACTGGTCGATTAGCTCTGGTTCGTGACTCTGGAGTCGACAGTAAACTCTTGGGACAATTGCAACCATTGCAAGCTTCGTATTGATTTTCCAAGTCGGTTTCCAAAATTTGCGTACCACTCTTTCGAGTCAGGACTAGCTTTCCATCGCTTTGGATTCCTGCTCCACGGAGACTTTCACCTTCATCTTCTCCTTGGGGAGAGTCAAGCTTGGCTCCTCTAGCAGCGCTGTTGGAGCCTTGACGAGGTGAATTCCTTGCTGGAGCTCAGCTAGATCTTCCCTGCGTTGTTGGGTCTTCTTGCCTCTCATCCTGTTAGCGAGAGTTCTTAGTCCTGGATGATGAGAAAAAGAAAGAAAACAAACCTGTTCTTCCAGAACTGAGCTTCTCGTTCCTCTCTCGTCTCACTGATCTTCTTCATTGCCTTGACAGTATCCTCCACAACGTTTCGATCGTATCGTTCCGGCCTATTTCTTTTCCTCTCAAGCTCAAATGTAGTGTCCTATTAAACCATGTGAGAAGTGACGAAAGGAAAACAGACAATACCTGTGGCAATTCCTTGCCGTGGAGCTTGCGATAGATCTTCGTCCACTTCACCTTGCGAGGATTTCTCTTCATCTTGAAATTCTTGTGGCACTTGGAGCGGCAGAATCGAAAGATCTAAGAGCCAGCGATTTTATATTTCGCGAGAAATCTGTGATCGAAGCGCTCATACCTTGGCATCGTTGCGCACATACATCATGCCGTGGCCTGGATAGATCGTGGAGGAGCAAAACCAGCATTTCTCGAGCCTCATGGCGCCGAGACGCCGATAAACCCTAAACGCACGGACGAGTGGAATATACCCTCCTCTCGAGCCCTAAGTTTTTGGCTTGGAGAGATGGGGGATTGCGAGCATTGGAGCGCGCATTCGCGGATCTGCTAGATTTCTGGGATCTGGAGTGATTTCTCAATGCAAATGCGCGCGGAGGAGTGTTCTTGACAAAGAATGGCGCTGGCAGCTGCCTTGGAGGCGGATTTGCGAGCTCTCTCGGCGGAAGCTCGACGCAAGTACCCGGCAGTGAAGGATGCAGCTGAGCACGCAATTCTTAAGGTGAGTGATGGCAAATTCTTGCGTTTGATCCGTGCGTATGCGATATTTCCAGCTGCGAACGATCACTGATCCCAGCCAAATCTCTCGAAACGATGATGTTCTCCGGCTCTACATGCTTGCCTGTGATACCAGGAACGTCAAGCTCAGCATTTTGGGACTCTCGTGCCTACAAAAGCTCTTGGCTCACGACGCGGTACCTCCTTTGGCGTTCCCACAAATTCTTGAGACCTTGCAAGAGGTAGATTGGCCGTTTTTCATTCCTTTAGTGTAGTTCTAACGAGACGTTTGTGTTTTTTATTTCTCTTCTTCTTCTTTTGCCTTTGCAGCATTGTGAGATAAATGATGAAATTCTCCAGCTGAAAACTTTGCAAACAATTCTCACTATCCTTCAATCGAAGCTCCATCCAGGAGACGAGGTAAGTACGTATCCTCCTGTTTAACTTACAGTTTTTGCTTTGCTTTTGTAGAATAGTATGTCAATCCTTCTTGGTCTTTGCCTCGGCTTACTTGGTAAGAGTCGCAATCCTGATTCCGTCCAAAGGTAAGCGTGAGACTCTCTCAGTCGTAACCGAAGTGTTTTTTTTCACTCTTTCTCAGTACTGCGGCTGCGACTCTACGTCAGGCTATAGCACTGATATTTGAACGTGTGGTTTATGCGGAAGATTTGCCTGCGCAGAAGGGTACGTCAAGCAGGCGGCCATCACGCTCGAACTCGGTTTCCGGAGATGTTAGTCGCAGCATGATGACAGCCAAGTAAGTACCTCAAATCTAGTTTGCTCACATAATGGAAGGAATGAACGCGTACTATCCACAATAACGTAGGACTGAGGAAACTGCTCCTGGTTCCAGCTCGGAATCCAGAGTTTTTATGACGCAAGAAGGCCGGCTTGGGCTCAAGCTTTTTGAAGATCTAACGTCACTTGCGGCTGGTGGCCAGGTAGTGCTTTTGTTTTATACTGAACTTTATAAGAGATTGACTGGTGTCTTTTTTTACTCCAGGCAAAGTGGCTTTCTTTTCACTCCCTTCAACGAACATTCGCTTTTGACATGCTTGAGTGAGTATGATTGTTTTATTTAAATTGAGATTTTAACCAATTTGTCCCTCCTCAGCTATGTTCTTTCCAACTACATCTCGCTTTTCAAAAATATCCGACCCTATCAAGAGGTGGGATTTTCTGTTGTCAAACACGCAATTAATTGAAATTCTGCAGGTTCTTCGCAACCAAGTCTGCTCATTGCTAGCTACGTCTTTGAGAACGACAACAGGGGTTAGTGTTTCTATTGAAGTCCAAATGTTTTGACACTTGAATTGTAGGCTGAAGGTGAACCGCACTTTCGGCGAATCATATTGAGAGCTGTTGCTAATGTCATTAGACTATACAGTTCAATTGTGTTGGCGGAATGTGAGGTGCACTTCAATTGCCTTGGTTGTCTTCGTGTTGATTTTAAACTCGCAGGTTTTTGTGAGCTTTCTTGTGAAGAGTACGGATGCAAGTTTACCGTCATGGCATCGAATTATGGTGCTTGAGATCTTACGTGTATGTCTCGCATTTGATTTTCTTTCACAATAACAGTCTGTCTCCTTTTTTTTTCTTCTTCTTTTTTGAGCAGGGGTTTTGCATTGAAGCAAGAATTTTGTGCTTTCTCTTCGAAACTTTTGATATGTACGTAGATTTCTTACTTCCTTACTGTTGTTTAACACTTCTTTGTGCAGGCAGCCTGAAAACTCGAATGTTGTTGGGGCCATGGTGAAGGCGCTATCGCGCATTGTCATCAGCATGCAGGTTTGTTATGCAGGCGCCTCTTATATGAATAACGTTTCCATTTGCAATAGGCACATGATAACGAAGAAAGCTGGGCTGCCGTGTCGGGTATGTTCAACAGCAAAGCTAAAGGTAATGCGGTGTGACTTTCAAATTTATGTCTAATTTGTTTTACATTAGGTGTTGAGTGGTCTTTGGATAACGATGTGAGTGGAGCTGCTATAGCAATTGTCAGTGAAGCGCATGCGATCACTTTAGCTGTCGAAGGTCTTCTAGGAGTTGTTTTTACGGTAGCCACGCTGACGGATGAAGCATCGGAGTCAGGAGAGGTACAAATTGCTGAGTTCTTAAATACTTTATCGCATGTTGTTTCAGGTTGCCAGTCCAAGATGTGAAAATCCAAACTCTTCTGTTATAGTAATACGTGGAGGTCCATATGCGACGCTCTGCATTGCAATGGTGAACGCACTGTGGCGTACGCTTCTAGAAGCTCTATCCCTGGTTCTTTCTAGGTCTGTTTCATTGCTCTATTGAGGCAAGCTTCTACTTATTTCTGCTAATAATTATCAGGTGCCAGGGAGAGGCTTTAGTGCTGGAAATTTTAAAGGCCTACCAAGCGTTTACGCAGGTTTGAAATCAGTTGGCCATTGCATTTTTTGGACTTCACTTTTCCTAGGCATGTGGAGTGCTTCGCATCGTTGAACCTCGAGATGCTTTCCTTTCTTCTCTATGCAAGTTCACTATCGCACAACCAGTTGAACTAGAAAAAGCTACGAGGTAATGGATGGGTGGCTGCAGGCACAACGCAAATTGATTGGTTCTTGCTATGTGTTTATTAGTGGAGGACATCTCATTCCGTTGATTCCTCTGACACCCGCTGCCTTAAAACGCTCCGAACCACCTGCAGAACCGCGAGAGAGTGTAGTTTTGACACCGAAAAACGTCCAAGTAAGTTTCTAAGTTCCTGGCCTCCGCCACGATTCCTAACGCTTTTTGCAGGCTTTGAGAACGCTTTTTAATGTCGCGCATCGGCTTGACAATGTTCTTGATTCGTCTTGGATACTGGTATTGCTCTATCCAAAGTCTACGTCGTAAGGACGTGGAATTATTATTATTATTTTTGCAGGTTTTGGAAACTTTAGCGGCCCTGGACCGTGTCATTCACTCCCCACATGCAACAACACAGGTCCGTGTGAATTTAAAAACAGAATACGTATGCGTTATGCGAACATGCTTACGGCAACTTTAGGAAATTTCAACTGTCGTTCCTCGGATTACTCGTGATCAAGGAAGTCAGTCAAGTGATTTCAACATTTTATCAACTCTAGATGCTCAGGTACGCGAAGCATTGATAAAAGGACTAATAAGTTGTCTCTCTTGTTAGCTTTTTGAAAGCTCCGGCATTATGAGTACTCCCGCCGTCCGTTCGCTACTTGCGGGACTTATGGAAGTCTCAAGCAATGGAGTTCAGGGGTTAACAACAGGCCTTGGCCTTGCTGGCACCAGTTCTGGTCCGAGAACTCCAGGGGCACAAGGACAGCAAACAGGATCAAAAATGTTTGCAGTTGAACGCATGATAACAGTACTTATGAACAATGTGCACAGTAAGCTCGGTTTTTAATTTGGACTCGTTTCTTAACTGGTATTCAGGGGCGCACGTGTTTTGGGAGGAACTGACTGACCACTTTATCAAGGTCCGTCTTTGGCATGTTTTTGCCTATCTCATTTTGTCTATACGCAGCTGGCAGAGCACGAAAGTTCTCAAGTTCGTACTGTGGCTCTGGATGCGCTCGATAGATCAATATGTGCTGTATTGGCGTGTGATCAAGTGCGTCAAGACGCAGCTGATGATCCCTCGACACTGAGAAAAGACGCTTTTGAATGTGCGGTCATACTACCGATCAAGACTTTATTCGATAATTGTCAAAAGGATGAAGTTCAGTCAAGTTCCTTGAAGATCTTGCTGCATCTTTTGGAGGTACATGTTTCCTCACCTCTGTGTTTATTGATTTAAAGTTGTGCAGAGGCATGGTGAAAAGCTGCATCACAGCTGGCCTGATATATTGGACCTGTTAAGGTGAGCATTTATGGCGCCAATCAGCTAAGCTCGTGGTGTTATTCTTACCAGATCAGTAGCCAATACTTGTGACAAGGAGTTAGTGCCACTTGGTTTCCAGGTTTGTGACTGAACCACTTGATCGTTTATGTTCCTAATATTGTTGTGGCAGAGTTTGCAAGTTATCCTGAATGACTGTCTCATGTCAATACCTTCGACTGCTATGGACATGTACGGCTTTGTCTCACAGTTTTCAGTGTTTGAAGTAAAATCTCATCGCAGGTGTGTGGACGTTGCTGCCGCATATGGAGCACAGAAGACGGATATTAATATTAGTCTGACTTCTGTAGGTCTCTTATGGGCAACATCAGATTTTTTTGCGAGAGGTGTCAACCATGAAATTCAAGAAACAGAAGATCGGAACGTAGGATCAGCTACATCCGGAAGAAAGGACCTGGATTGTGATACGCTGCTTCTCGCAGTGCTTGGTGTTATACAAAAGCTTGGGACAGATGATAGGCCGGAGGTAATTCTTTCAGGAGGTTTTTGTTTAACACTTGAGCATATTGTGTAGGTCCGGAATTCAGCAATCCGCACTCTTTTTCAATCTGTGAGCAGTCATGGCCACAGGTTCTCAGGGGATTTGTGGGACAATTGTTTGTGGATTTTGATCTTTCCACTGGTAGAAACAGTTCGACACCTAGTAAGCGTTTTTGCTAGCCATGTTTTTTGTGATTTCATTCATGTTTTCATACGGTCAGGCGGCAAACTCTTCAAAGGAAGAGTCGGTTGGAAAGGAGTTGGGAATGCATGGTGGCAAACCAGTTCACATGCTCGTACATCACAGGTATTGGCATCTACCTGTGAACTTGTCAGACGATGCGGATTTTTGAAACAGTCGAAATACCGCTCAAAAGCAATGGGATGAGAGCTTGGTGCTTGTTTTAAATGGACTAGGACGCCTACTAAAACCTTTTCTACATTTGTTCCAAACTCTAGATCAATTTGGAGAAGGTATGATATAAACAGCTTGTGATTTCACTCATCATCTTTGTCTTCTTTTCAGCATGGACGACGATATTACTATTTGGACAGGAAAGTATCGTTAATGGCAGCAAGGAAGTAGCCCTTGCAGCAATTAGTACGTTACAAACAATTGTCGTGGCTTATGCATCTAAGGTATTATTCTGTTCTTAGTAATCAAATATTGCAAGTCGCCTCTTGTTTCCTACAGGGAAGCGTGGGCATGGACTATTTCAAGACTGCATTCAACACCTACGAAAAGATTGTTTATAATGTGTGCCATTCAAGCAGCAAGGTTATGGCCAAGGCAAAACAAGAGCTACTTCAAAGTCTTGGTACGCAATCGTTTGTTCGATGTTATAAAAAACTGTTTTCTTTTTCTTTCTCTCAGCCGAAGTTTATGTGCAAGGATATAAAATGTTTGATCAGTCTACATATTTACGCCTTCTAGCTCTAACAGACCTGCTATCACGTAATCCCGTGAATTCAAGCGATGGTTCTGCCGCTGGTCGAGTAAGCATCCTTTTGTGATAAGATGTAAAGGTTTTGTGCTTATGGTACTCATGATCAGGGCGGAATTCCTCAAGTTCAGAGGACATCTCTTGAAGTTCTCCCCACTATAAAACCACTCGATGCGACCCTTGCACCAATGTGGCCATCGTATTTCCAGCAACTCGTATCATATTTACCAGGTGGTGAACAATGCGAACACTGTAAGCTGGGTGAAGAGATTTATACAAAACAGCAAACTTTGGAGTCCGCTCTCAGCAAGCTTCCTAGCTCCAAGTGTAGCACAACGAACGGGCAGCAAGAAAACATCTCACAAGGATTTTCAGAAAAAGTTGCGGATATCCTCGTCGATCTGTACAAACTTATGCCATCTGATAGTAAGGAACTTGTTCTTCCTGACATTATTGGGGGGCTTGGAAGGTACGTCCTCGTCTGTTTTCAACAGTGTAGTTTGCTAATATATTTTCAGGTGTATGGCAATGAGGCGAGACTTTCCAGACGCCGGTATATGGAGAACAGCCGTCAAAGCTTACAATCGGATCCTACAGGACGAGTTCAGCCCCGAGGCCTCTGGAAAGGACAGGATAAGTACTGTCAGAGCTCACGTATGGAAGGAGTTGATCGAGACATACGAGAACTTTTTAGTAGGCACCTGCGGTCGAGCAGTTGTGCTTCCCTCTGGCGAACCTGCGGCAGAAGCTCTGAAAGCGGACGAAAGCTTAGAGGCTTGCATGCTCGACGTTTTGTCTGAGAAAGTTTTTGCGTGTTGCGAAGATGCTCCGGAAGATGTCATCTCGAGATTCATCGATCTCATTGATCGCTGCGCTGCTCGAACGTGTGCATTATCTCTGGAGAGTGCTGCTCTTCTGCCTCACAATTGCGGGAGGTTTTCCTTGTTGTGTCTTCAAAAGCTCTTTCACATATGCAGGTATTGTAGCTATTATACTTGGATTGGCCGACGATGGTTTTTCCCCCCTTTTTTTGTTGTGCAGCTGTGGCGATGAAGGTCTAGTGAATCCTTCAAGGATCGCTGTGAGTAGGATGGCTCTTCCAGTTTTGATGGGACGATGCAACGTAATCATCCGCCAGTTTTCGTTCGACGAGAAACTTAATGGTAAGTTGATTTTCATTTACCTGGTATGAAGTTCTTTTTGATACTGATTGTGTGATTTAGAAGGGGCTTTGTTACCAAGCGTGCGAAAAGAGGAGATGTACTGCGTGCTCGAGGAACTCTCGAGATTAGTACTTCATCCACTGACCGCGACTACTCTCAAGCCATCTAGGAATCAGCTGGCGGGAACAACACAAAAGCGAAAGCTGTCCACCATTAGAGACTCTTTATCTGTTTCCAATGGCTCCGAGCAAGGAGCTTCTGAGCGTGCTCACTTGCTGTTACTCTATTCACCTCTTTGTGATCTGGTAACTTCAAGGTAAGGATTTACTTCTGTTTTTTCTTTGCAGCATCTAATCCTGGGAAGAAATCATTTTAGAGACGACAAAATCCGGGAGTCTCTCCAAGTGCTGCTCCGGCTTGTTGGCCGTGAGTTTGGCGTTATCCAGGATGATCAAACTCAAAGCGACCTGCAACACAAAGATACGTGAATCTTAAAAGCAGTTTTGGTAGTTCATTTAACGTCTCGAGAAGGAAATTCAGATAAGCTGATTGAACGAGCGCATTTTCCATGGTGGATCATGCGAAATGTGTTTCCTCGGTGCCACGTGTGAAGTGAACGGCGAGTACTTATTTAAGCGGTGCCTTTGATCATGCTTCTCCAGAAGATGGGACTCCAGACGGCCTCTTTGATCGTTTTCCTCTTGGTGGTTTCAGTGGGTATGCATCCTTCTGTGTTTTCCTCGTTTGTTTAGTTCCTTTGCCCATTCTGCTGATCTTTGCTCTGCTTGTTTCAGCGTGCTCGGGACACTCCCTGCGAGTTGAAAATGCCGGTAAGCAAGGGCTTCTTTTTCAGGATTTTCATTCCAAGACGAGCCTCAAGTTTAGATTCTTCTTGCAGGAAGTAGCAAAGTGTGTCCGCTGTTTTGCAACCTCGACTTGAAAGTAGTGTGCGGCAACAAAGAACTCGACGGTGCGTGTTACAATTGCTGCAACTTACCAGATGGATGCCGCTTCGTCAATCCAAATGGCACCACTGCCGCCTGCTCGTAGCTTCTAGCGGTCTCTAACAAAAGAAAATCAAGAGAAGAACAAGTTTTGAAGCCTTGATCTTTGATAAGGAGGAGCTCCATTTTCCTCCTCTTTCAAAGTCAATAAAGCTGCCTTTGGAAGGAGTGTAGTCTAAATTCTAAGCTGTGTGTATGAGTGCAATGAAGCAGAGTTGACCGCTCCGCTTTTTAATCGACATATGTCGATTAAAAACTGAGTTAGCAGCCAAGTGGTGTAAATAATGTGATGATATGTACATTATTAGATTTTGTGTGCTCGATAAGATACTTGCTGTCTTTCTTGAAGTATTCTAGCATTTATCAATGCAAGAATTTGAATAAATAAATACAATGCTCTATCCATGAAATTTCCTTCTTTTCTTCGTCGGCTGAAGGTGGCGCAAGCATTCAGAGCAGGAGTAAAGTCGAGGCATTCACTGATCCATTCGAACATAGCTTTGCTTTGAAACGTGTTCTTGACATATCGCCTCCAGGACACAAGGCTGTGAAAGCACATCCTGTCGAAAGTCCACTTTGCTGGGTACTTGGGTTTTTTCTTCTTCTTTTTTCACGATCTTCCTCCCATGGCGCCGTCCAATTGGCAATGCCCAATGTGGTGGAGATCTCGCCCTTCCGGAGCTTCCACACGGCGGCGCAGCAATCCATTCCCTCCATCCCTGGGGGACATTCGCAATCGCTGGGCCACAATCCAGCGGCCAACTGCTTCGCCCAACAGGTTCTCCAGGCTGGGGATCCACTGCTGAGCAAGCGTGCCGTGGAGGTCTCCCTGGATGCGATTGGGAGCTGCGCGATCGAGAGGGTGATCAAGATTTGGTTGCGGCATGAGGAATTTGGGAGCGTTGGCCCCGTGAGCTCCTCAAATCAGTCACGCGCTCCAGGTAACGAAAAATTCGCGTTTTGGGGCAAATTGGTGTTCGTCTAGATCATTGTTCTTGAGGATCAAGCCTTCATGGTTCGTGAAAAACTCCTCTCTCTTTCTCTCGCTCGCATTAAATTCCCATCTTAAATCCAAAGCTGGTAGTGACCCATCTGGAGACATTGCTGCCGAGTTGAGTGAAAGAACAAACGGAAATTGTCATTTAGAAAGTTTACCTTCACATTCATTTGATCAACAATCAGATTGTAGTGAGCAATAAAGACTAAATTGGAGAAAATATCTTTGTGAAATTAATTAATGGCAAAAGAAGCAATATAAATCTTCTTGTTTAAAGAATATTAAACTCTTCCCAAACAAGAGATCTCCAATACAACTACACATTCTATAAATATGTTGATTACTTAATTTGCATTACTATAGAAGAGTTATTTAATACTAAAGTAGATAAATTCCCAAATGTTTATTTGCAATTTTCGTGTCTACTATTTAGTTGGAAAATATATAAATTTATTTTTTTATAGATACAATTCCACCCCACTATAACTCGTTAAAAAAAAAGAAATTATTTATCTTGAAGATACAACATTACTCTGTCGTGGAATCGTAAAAACCATATAATCAGTCCAACAGATATACATAGCTTGTTGATGAAATATAAAAGAATTTTATGATGAGAAAAAAATGGTTAACTAGGAATTTCTTACTAAAACACTAAATGAATTGTTAATCTTAAACACCCTTCCACCATCTGTTGCTTAGGTCTTGGAAATTATACTTCTATATATGATATTTAGACACTGTATACATATAATTTTATTAGTGTAAATGAGATGTAAAGGCTTATGGATGATATATGTATATAATATATATACATAAATACATACATACATATATATACACATACATATACATATGTATACATCTCATTTACACTAATAAAATTATATATATACAGTGTTTATATATATGTGTGTGTATGTGTGAATATGGAAATGGAATAAAGAAATGTATATATCAATTAGTCCAAAACCCCTAGATTATACATAGAAGTAAATGGTTCAAATTAAAATCAATCCAACAGCTATCAAAATCCCATTATATTAATATTAGTATATGGCATTGTAGCCATACACTTAGACTACATATCATTTCTTCTCAGAATGATAGAAAACAATTAAGGTTTTCTCATGGATGGGCTGGGATCAAAAAAAACAACTATAGAATTCTAAAAGTGAAAGGAAAATATTATTATTTTATTTTTTTATTATTGGCTGGAGAAGGAGTGCAAAATGTCTTGGTGAGCTAGAGGGAGGAGCTTACTGAGAGCTAGGTGACATTACACCATAGAAATCTAAAACTATAACTTGCAGTGTACATGTTTAAAAGATTATAGTGAGCTATATCTATAGAAGGAAAAAGGAAAAGTCCCTTGTAGATTGATCAAACAGATCATTAAAAAGTATTAACTTAGGTGCATCTCCACTGTAGTCATGCAATCAAATTTTGTGGAAGGGAAGATATATATTTGATTTGCTCCAGCACACAAACAGCACAAACATGCCATTGACCTTACCAATTCGATCATATATACCAAGCAATCACACACAATGTTGTGCCATTGAATTCTCGATGACCCTGCCAGCATATACAAGCCTTCCTCACCATTTGAACAAGAAAGACGCTAGACAACAAGCTAGAAATAGTGAATGAGAATGAACTTTTAAACGCATTTTATTATAGTCGTAACTACATCACATGCCTGGGGTATTATGTTCATATTGGCCAAGTATATAACTCAATGACATGAGTTTAGCGTTTGGATCTTGTGAAGGTAAGTTGAAAGAATGATTGTTGGTTGCTTGGCAACTAGTGATTGCTTGTAAACTTTGTCGAGAATTATTAGACACTTGCTGTGCTCGATGAAGATTTAGCAGTGATGGGCTTGCTTTACCGGATGGTGTTGCGGAGGATCATGTCATTAGGCTTGCATGGTTTTTCTATATTGGCATGTCGATTCCTTTGTCAATATCATTTAGTTATGTTTGGTCTATAGTATTGGATTTTATTGAGTCTTGGATGTGGTGAATCACTCTTTGATGATGTGTTATCTGAAATTGAGTATTTTTGAAGGATTAGTCTCAAATACTAACTAAGGTATTATAAACAACCAAAGGGAACGATTCAAGAGACGGTCCTAGGGTTCAAATATAGAAGGAAAGTGCCCATGAATAAGAGTGCACCCCCTTTTTCAATCAGTTAATAGTCTTGGGATATTTGGGGTTAAACATCCTTGGGTTTGAATAGTATTGGGTTGGGTGACCTCTCGGAAAGTCCAAACTCAGAAGCTTACAGATATCTTCGTGTTTGGTTAGTTTGGTTGCTAAAGAGCTTTGAGTGGTGATTCACTCTTGCTTTCTATTTTTCTGTAGGATTGATATTGAGTTTCATTAGTCTCAATGCAAAGTGTTAATGTTTGGGCTGTAGCTTTGTGTTTTTGGCATTTGGTGCATTTGCTAATTAAAAATTGTATTGACATTCAAATAAGCTGAGTGGCAAATTGAGTTAGTTGTGTTTTAGACGAGATTGTTTAGTAAAGGTTGAGCTTTAGCTTTTCCTTGAAAAGTGATATAGTCGTGGACTATACTAGCTTTACGAAAGGATGAGTTAGTGATCGATATTGAATATTTGAGTCTTTATTTGATTTCTATTGGGATATATCGATCATTGATGATTCTTCTTTTGCTTGTTGTGAAGTGAGTTACATGCTGCTATAGATGGATTTATGGAGGATCGATTAGATAATCACTTGTTGAGCATAGCTTTGTTATGGTTAACTTTTGGATTGATGCAAACATGCTTTTCATTAGCTTCACATTATGAAGTTTAGCTTATGGATGTGTTGAGAAGGATATTGTGGGTTGTACCATGATTTCTTCTTTAGCATTGAAATTAGTTCATATGAGACTCATGATCATTGTTATACAAGACTTGGCTATAAACTTCTTTGAGTTTTTGGTTCTTTGAGTTTTCATGCTTGTGGTCCATTTGTTTGAAGTTGTTCGGGAAAACATTTTTTTAGCTCATTAGCTTCAATGTTGAAATTAGTATTTGCATCTGGCAATCATTGGTAATGATTGACTATAATTTAGGATAGTTGATTATTCTTGTCAAAAAGTTTTGCTTGGTTATTGTTGATTTAGAATGATTTGCTATTCTTCGGGATGGTAGATTCCTTCTTCGACAGTGATCATGCATCTTTTCAATGATAAGATGATTGATAATCTTTTATGATAGTTATTTTCTTTGATGGCTTTTGGCTTTTCGCATTACCACATGTTCTTTGTGGTTTGCTCTGGATTGGTCTTTTAGGTTTGAAACATCGGTAGGATGTTGCTAACACTTGCTGAGCAACTCTGGTTCTTTGGTATTATTGACTAGGATCTATTCAAATTAGTTAGTGTGATAGTTGGCATGAATGAGGGTTTGTTTTCTTTGCAATATTCATTCTATTTTGTTGACTATTATTACTATCACTTCTGATAGGTTGGATGTTATCTCTTTCGGATGATACATTTGTAAACATTTTTCTTACCAGTCAATGATACTTTGTATTCTTTGCATTATCTTTTGTAAGTTATTTAGCATTCTGTCTACAATCTTTGATAGTTATGTTTTGTCATTGAGTGTCCTTGATGATACACTAGCTATTGAATTTTGTTGGATGGTGAAATCTTTAGTCATGGGGTAGCTACAGTCGGCTGGTCACATAACCCGCCTCTTTGTCGATGTTCCTTATTCTGTTGAAAGGGCTTGACCGTGTAAACAACTCTAACTACCTGTTTATAGTAGTCTATTTAAACCTTACTAACGGGTTTGGTTTCTTTGCTCAAGAGGGTTGGGGCCTCTAGCTTCTCTCTCTATGTCCCTGTAGGCAGAGGCGTATCACACTTTTGTAAGTTTGGTGACACCTATAGCAGCAAGGGTGGCTAACTCTATTGGTCATTTCCTTGTTAGTGACGGCCGGAAGGTATCTGAGCTAGTAGCGCATTTGCATTAGTCAAAGAGGTTACTTTCACTCATTTAAGTTGGTGCATTTCTCACATAGTGTGATCACCATGAATTTTTTCTAGAGTTGTTTCCTTGCCAGTGGTCTAGACTCGAGTATGCATCAATGAGGATATCAATTCTTCCCTAGGGGGGGAGAGTGTCGCGAATGTGAATTCGGATATTGAAAGTTATCTGTCGGCTAGTACTTTCAGATATTCTTTCCTTACTGCCACGACGGCAGGAGGTTAATATTGCTAGACCTGTTATTAGTTCCCACTTGAGCTAGTTGAAAAACTGGTTATTGACCATACACTTAAATTGGATAAACATAAGGTAGGAACCCTATGTGTTTGTTACTGAGAATATTTGGCCTAGTTTGAGAAACTCCTTTTATTGGCTTGTACTTACTACTATCAAGAATCCCTGTGATATTGAAATTAGTCCCTCAATATTCACTAAATGATAACTTACTATGTCTGCCAAACACCCTCACTATCATGCCCTTTGTGTTAGTTTCATTTTGATCCCAAATACTATTTATGGAAAGTGTTTAAATTTACTCATTTGGCATATTTACGGAATGTAAAGATTATCCTGAATATAATGGTGTTCGTCCCGTATCCAAATTTGCAATCTAAAGACATTTCATATTTAATGAGTTTCAAGCTTGTCCTAGAGACTAACTCCTAATACTAAGGGAAGCTTGGGGTGAAAGCCTAAAGCATGTGTTCCTCAAAGGGGGACGGGGGAATGTAGGGGGTTCTAAATGTATAGTAGGGATAGTGGGTAGGTTGGGTATGGCCGACTAATTTGAGGCATAGTCTAACTCCCACTTACGTGTCTGTCCTTATTTTACATCTAGTTTGGGTCTAAGCCCAAGTTCCATTTCATGCTAGTTGGTGAAGTACCCATGTCCTCGCGTTAGGCCACCAGTATGCCAAAATAGTGCGAAACTCTGTTTAGCTCCGTTTTGCATACTGGTCTTGGCATTGGGATACTAGTTGCTCTAGAACTAATCCAAGTTGCTCCATGCTCCTGTCCCTTCGCTCCTTAGGCTATATGCTTAGGAGTCATTCCGTGCTCTAGTGCCATTGTTCTTTGGCTCTATGCTTGGGGGTTTGGCACCGTTCCTTCATTCAGTGGCCCAAGGCTCTAAAACTTGGATTCCACACTACTATCCTTTGGACATATGGCAAGTGACATATGGCTTATAAAGGGTTTAGGTTCCGCTTTGTAGTGTTATTCTATGGTAAATCACCATAGGATAAAGGTTAAAAACCACATGTGCTACATAAATAGGGGTGAGTTTAACTGTTTGACACACCTAAGTGTTACATGCCCTTCTAATTGTGGGAAAGATTGTTGATTGTGATTTTAAGATCACATTAACAAAGAAGATGTGCACAATCATAGACATGAAAAAAAATGGGGGAGAAGATATGCTAGTCTTTATCAACTTAATGCCAAGATGGTGTAGCCAGTGAAAGCTCTCCTCGCTGGGATAAAGAACTCTAAACATGGCACAGAAGACTTAACCGAACTAGTGGCAAAAGAAATGGTAAAAAGTTTAAGTATCACCTCATCATGTGCAATGAATTTTTGCAAATTGTATGCAATCAGTAAATTCCACCAACTCCCTTGTCCATAAACAACCATCAATTGTGCTAAAGAAATTCTAGCACCAATTCATTCGATTTTTTAGGAATATGCCCACATTTTCTAGAGACAAGAAGTTATACTTCGTGACCTTCATAAATGACTTCTCATAAATCATAGCAGTGACTCCTCAACTCAAGTCAGAAGCCTTCAAGAAATTCAAGGAATACAAGTGGAGTTGTGGACAGGAAAGAAAATCAAAATGCTAAAAAGTGATGGAGGCAAGGAGTATACATCCAAAGAATTCCTCAACTGTGATGGTTGTTTATAAAAATTGTAATTCTTCAAAATATAATGGCAATTCTCAATCCTATTATATAATAGCAGAATGGTGTAGTAGTGCAAATGAATCACACATTCCAAGAGGCAACACAAAATCTTTTGCAAAACTTCAGCTTACTGAACTCATTATAGTGTAAAGTCATTGCAATAATAATTGCCAATTTAAAACAGCTGTATCAGAGAAGACTCCATATGAAGTGTGGTATGGTGTAAAACCAAACATGAGCCATCTATGTGTTTTTGAAAGCATTTGCTATGTGCATGTGTTGAAAAAGCACAAAGCACTAGCCAACTTGAGCACTAGCCAAAAGTGTGTCCTTGTTGGATATGTAGACACAATGAAAGGCTATAAGCTCTTTAACCTCGAGACTCAAAAAATGATCATGAGTAGGGACATCATCTTTGATGAGTTTAGGATGTACACAACAAAAGATCTTTAATCATTGCCACAGTTTTCTCTAATAGAAGTAGCTAAGGACAACTAAAAAGACGAATTTTCAATTAGAGCATATGGAATAACGAAAGGAGCTAGTGATGCGTAGAGAAGTGGCAATTATGACAATCTAGGTGGCAATGAGGATAATACAATGAGCATGGATAGCACTAAAGTTGATCCTAATGGAAGTGAGGACTTACCCTATAGAGCAAAAGACTTGCCACTCAATACAAGAGGTGTTGGGACTGATGGGAGTGCTCAGAACACAAACCCAGTGGGAAGCAAGGTTGCAATAGTAGACTAAGGTTATGACTGCATTATTGGCAAGTTGAAATTAGTGATGGCATTTTGAGATGTTTCAGTTCAACACAGACTCATAGATGTTGGCATCAATATAGAGAATACTTAAATCTATAAGCAACTAAGTGAGCTTCTTGATAAGAAGTAAAGGTTGCTAAAGATTGATGAGCGATACCACCAATTCCTAAAGCCTTCTATGATTTAGATTTTTATTTTACTAACTCTGATATAGAGGAAGAAGAAAACATGATGACTCCTAGCTTCTACTTCTCTTTAGCCATAGCATTTGTCCTAAAGACCATGGAAGCAACTCTTGCCGGACGTAATGCAAATTAACTTGTTTTCGCTTGCGGCTCAAGATAGGACTCTAAGCTTGTTGTGCTATAAAACAAGGGTCTAATACACACTCAACTTCCCCTACAAACATTAGCTATTTGTATTTAACTCCTATATGCAAAATAATGTTAAATGGTATATGGCATAATTTTAGCATACCAATGTCCTAATGTGAGGATGTGGGTACCCCACCAATTAAAACAGTATGGAACTTAGGCTTAGGCCTAAATTGAACACAGAATAAGGAGTGATATAGCGTAATAGGTTCCAAACTAGTGTTTCAAATGGTCGCTTGTGCTTCGAACTATTATCACTACCATATATTTAAAACATACCACATAGATAGTCAAATGGACTCCAAATCTTCCTTTTCATTCCAAATCCAATGAGAGGTGCTGAAACTATATTTTATTATCTCCCAGTGTTCATGGTTTTGTGGTTATAATATATATTCTTCTACTATATAGGGTTGCTAGGTTCAATTCCCAATCCGCCTCATCCTTTCAGGTAGGGACAGTACGGTCTTAGAGTTGCCTCTTGAACATGGATGCTATTTTATTCTTTTCCTTTCTTATTATTATTACTTTATTTGTTATTATTGGCTGGAGAAAGAGCACAAAATGTCTTGGTGAGCTAGAGAGAGGAGCTTATTGAGAGCTGGGCATGACATTACACTGTAGGAATCTAAAAGTGAAAGGAAACTATTATTATTTTATTTTTTTATTATTGGCTAGAGAAAGAGTGCAAAATGTCTTGGTGAGCTAGAGGGAGGAGCTTACTGAGAGCTGGGTGACATTACACCATAGAAATCTAAAAGTGTAACTTGCAATGTATATGTTTAAAAGACTATAGTGAGCTATATTTGTAGAAGGAAAAAGGAAAAGTCCCTTGTAGATTGATCAAACAGATCATTAAAAAGTATTAACTTAGGTGCATCTCCACTGTAGTCATGCAATCAAATTTTGTGGAAGGGAAGATATATATTTGATTTGCTCCAGCACACAAACAGCACAAACATGCCATTGACCTTACCAATTCGATCATATATACCAAACAATCACACACAATGTTGTGCCATTGAATTCTTGATGACCCTGCCAGCATATGCAAGCCTTCCTCACCATTTGAACAAGAAAGACACTAGCCAACAAGCTAGAAATAGTGAATGAGAATGAACTTTTAAACGCATTTTATTATAGTCGTAACTACATCACAGCCGTTGGATTAAAGGATATCTTAGAATATACCATCCAAACCGTTAGATTTTAGTGCGGCTAGGGTTTCGCGTGGCTATGGACTTCCGGGGGCGAGGTGAGAGAGACTCGGGTATTCGTCTTCCTCTGTGCAGCGGAAAGCTGCCATCTCTGGATGTTTGGGTGGCTTGAATCCCTCGGAGCTCTCCATCCGGTTGCACCCAGACGAAGGCAACGTTTTCCATCCCCCCTCTCTCAACTCCTGGTCCAGGAGCTCAGCTGCATCTATTCTGACGCAATTTCTTCGCTCCCTGACGCATCCCTTCCCGACGCCAAGACGTGGCAAAATGCGGCGATCATCCAAGGCATCCAGCCGCCCAAGGACGAAAGGGAGCCGGCTTGGATGTCGGAGCTGTCCGAGATTTGCAGAGGTAGGATCGACGTGGACTTGCTTTTGTGCCACAAATTTCATGCTCGCCTTTCGCTACCATCTGGACGTGAACGATCCAAACGGCGTCTCCATCGACAAGGAACAAGATTGCCAGGACCTGATCACGCAAGAAGAAGAAGAGCTCTACATTGATCGTCACCTCCCTCGAGCTCAAGCTGACGAGATTGTGTGCGAGATCTGTCAAGTTTTGCCACAGTCGTACCGGAGGTTTTCCGCGTGATCAACTGGGACGTGGAGGTGAGGAGCAAAAGCTCGGCCGTTCTTGCGCATGGAAGCGACGCTGTTCTTGGGATCGAAGTCGTCAGTGGGCTGAGCCGGCAGGGATTGAACAGATGCGAGATGGAATTCTACCTGTGGGCGAGCTCGTCCAAGCTCCCGTTTTTGCAGCTGGTGACTGATTTCAAGAGTGCCGCTGTCTTTTACTATCGGTTTCCGCGGACAGGATCCATCGCCACCTTGAGGAAGCTCGTGAAGTTGATCGCGTCGAGATTGCCCCCGGACTGCAATTGTCCAGAGTCTGAAATGGCTTGGTCGATTCTGGGCTGGAAACGCTTCGGAAGCGATCATGTTGGAGAGGTATCGATTCGGCCAGTAGCTGCTCTCCAGGATCCGCGCGTGGATCCTCCAAATCTCTGGCCTCGCAGCCCCTGGATGTCGTCCACGTGGACAGTCGGAAAATCTTCCTTTGCATTCAAATCCAATGACAGGTGGTGAAACTATATTTTATTATCTCCCAGTGTTCATGGCTTTGTGGTTATAGCATGCATGCTGTAATGTTCTATTGTGTAGGGTTGCTGGGTTCGATTCCCATCCGCCTCAACTTCCAATTAAGAACAATACGGTCTTAGGGTCGCCCCCTAAACATGAATACTATTTTATTATTTTATTATTAGATTAATTGCAAGCATGAACACTATTTTATTTTACTAGTGAGAGTCAAAATCTCACCTAAGATTAACTGTGTTGAGTTTCTGGGTGTTAAGTTGGTACTAGATTATAGTAAAAAAGTAGAACCAAACTTGTAATCAATGGAATCCATTCTTACAGACTTGTCTTGGAAGTGGCATTGATACTTCTCCTAGTGAATTTGGACAAGGCACACTTACTGTAAAGGGGCAGAGTGAAGTAAACAACTGGTTTGCATACTCAGTCATCCTGTCCATGCATTGCAATGCATGGTGAATTATTGGTGGATCCTGATTCTTGACAGAAAAGGACACAAAGAATTGAAATAGATTTCAAGTGAAAGCTTTTAAAAAGCAAGCAAACCATACATAGCCTACCAGTATGTTGTCAAGTCTAAATTGAAAGTCAATAGGAAAAGGTTATTCATCCACAATTTGTATATATAGGCAATTATTGTTATTGTAAATATTGTTCTTTCTATATATAAAATTGGGCATTAGCTTAGAACTCAAGTGAAAACTTAATACTCAATGACGAGCTCGTTTCTGCTCGACCATTTCCACTTGTGAAAATTGCTCAAACATCTGTTTTTCCAATTAGAGCTTCCTCCTGGATACTGTCAGGAATCCCCCAATTCTTGCCACATTCCTTACTCTCGCCAAATTCTTGACCCGCAGATTACATTCCTAACTCTCAAGACACTTCCCTATTCCTAGCTTTCTGATTTCCCGTATGATTCCTGATTCTCAAACCACATTCTTGATGATGATGTGACACCTTCTTGACCTCAGCTATATTTAGGTTGTCCTCGATCCAAGAGTGGTGGAGCTTCATCAACCTATAATATATATACATGAGCCTTGTTCCATTTCTCCACAATCTGAATCAATGCCAATCTAAGGCCTCTTCTCCATCTCCTCTAGCTTTTCTATTTGTCTTCTGTATTTTCCAATCCTGATCTTGTTGAGGGTCTTGACAATTTGATTTAGATTGTGGTTTTTGCTTTTGCTTTAGCTCGTTTTGGTTGTTTGATTGCCTTTGCCTTTTTCCCCCTTTTCTTTCTTCTTTGCCAATAAAGTCTCCAAGCCATCCTGATTCCTTCGCCAAAGTCCTTGCAAAAATCCAGTCTAAGAATACCAAGTTGAAGGCAGCCCTTCTTCACATGCAACAGGAGCTTGCTTCACTTTCGGCTCAAGGATTAAGTAGAGTTCTTTGTGAGACACAAAATCCCTAGGCCCCAAAGTGGAGCCGGAAGGGCGCCACATGGTAGTGGCCGAAGCGAGAGCCAAACGAGCGTAACACGTTTGGACCAAAAGCTCCGACTTGAAAAGTCAAGAGCGGGAGTGGAACTCCCAACGAAGTGCTCGAGGAACGAGCACGAAGCGAGCAAAAGGCAAGGCTCCAAAAAGGGACCCAAAAGGACCAACACATGACACGTGGGAGTGTCCGAGATGGACCCGAGATGGAGTCCGAGATGGAGTCCGAGATGGAGTCCGAGGTGGACCCGAGATGGACCCGAGTTGGAGTCCAAAGTGGAGTCCGAGATGGACCCGAGATGGAGTCCGAGATGGAGTCCGAGATGGAGTCCGAGGTGGACCCGAGATGGACCCGAAATGGAGTCCGAGATGGAGTCTGAGATAGACCCGAGATGGAGTCCGAGATGGAGTCCGAGATGGAGTCCGAGGTGGACCCGAGATGGACCCGAAATGGAGTCCGAGATGGAGTCCGAGATGGACCCGAGGTGGAGTCCGAGATGGAGTCCGAGATGGACCCGAGATGGACCCGAGATGGAGTCCGAGATGGAGTCCGAGATGGAGTCCGAGATGGAGTCCGAAGTCGAGACCGAGACCGGAACCGAGACCGGGACCGAGACCGAGACCGAGACCGAGATCAGGACCGAGACCGAGACCGGAACCGAGACCGGGACCGAGACCGAGACCGAGACCGAGATCAGGACCGAGACCGAGACCGAGGCCGAGGCCAAGACCGAGCCCGAGCCCGAGTCCGAGTCCGAATCCGAGTCCGAGTCCGAGTCCGAGTCCGAGTCCGAGTCCGAGTCCGAGTCCGGAGCCTGAGAGGGTGAAAGCCCAAAGCGTTCGTCTCCCAGACCCTGGGGGGTTTGGTGAGCTCCAAAAGTATAGTAGGGGGAGGACTGCAGTGGAGCCAGTTTGGCCAGGAAAGGCCAGTTTGGCCCAGGAAGGCCAGACCCAGTGTTGGGTGATGAACTGACCACTGGGAAGTCCAAGACTAGAGTGAATACGGACCGACAAGCGGGGTAGCTTGGTGAAGTGTTCAAGAGCCGGCTCTAGTTCCCCCGGGAGATTGACTGGCCGATGCTCCCAGTCCAAGTGTGGATGGCACTACCTACTTGGATACCAAGCGTGGCTCAATGGAACCTCGCTCTAAGCCCATGGCTAGAGCACCTAAAGGCGATAGGTGGGGAGAGTACCCAGGTGGCTCGCGTAAGGCCACAGTGTTCCGAAATGTTGTCCCAAAGGCCCAGACTGTGGAAAGGAAGAGGAGCAGTCCTCTGGGGTAGTGACCAAGGACACAGTCATGTGGTGAGGAAGTCCCAGACGACCGTGGGACTTAGTGGTCGGGCCTGTGGGCCTCGATCCAGTGGCAGTGTTGGCAAACACGGCCAGGGGCAGAAAGGGACTTGGTAGGAACTGACAAAGGGACTTTGGGGAAGGCAATTCCCCAGGTCTGTGGGCATCCTAAGGATGCTAAGGAGTGGATCTAGGATGACCACTCGTGGACACATGGCCCAGTCTTGGAGAGACGAGGTGGTGATGCAAGTGGTGTTGAACCACTAGTGCAGCAAAGGTGAATGGGCATTGCCTTAGCGTAACGGGCCGAGACGTCAGTGGTACCTTTGGGTGTCGGTCTCAGGACCGGACACGTGGAGCACTTGGACCAGGTGCAGGTGTGGAGTGGCATGGATGCCATTCTTGGGGCTAGCAAGTCCCAAGTCCTGAATTGGACTGATGGAGGTTGTGAATGAGACTCCTCCAAGTGGTCGGAGGTGTGGTTAAGTGACTAAAGTAGAATGGAAAATCTAGTCGCTTACATTCTTGAACTGAAGGTGAGTTTCCCAGCGAAGTTCTCAAGCAAGCGTTTGGAACTTCGCGAATTCCTAAACTAGATGGAGCTGATCTTTGCACTTCAACATCAGCGGTACCCCACTCCCGAGTCTCACATCAGCGCAATCGGGACATTGCTCAAAGGTGCAACTTTGTCATGGTTTTCTTCTCTCCTGGAGAAGAGCATGAAAGGGGTTGTGGTTCTGGAGCTGATGGATCTTCAGTTGTTCAAAGACATGTTTTGGCGAGATAGATTGAGTTTGGGCTGCCACCACAAAGATGAGATGTCTCTCTCAAGGGTCTCATCCTGCGTCGATCTATGCTGCGGAGTTCTAACTCCTTGCCTTGGACACTTAGTGGGATGAGCAGCCCCTAATTGATTAATTTCGTTTCGGCCTCAACAACAGTATCAAGGATTTGTTGCTCACCATGGAGGATCTCACGGACCTATCGGACGCCATCAACAAAACTATTCGATGTGACAATCATCTCTTTGAATGTCATCAGGAAAGTCGCCGCACCGCCGTTTTCTCGTCCCAGACTAAGGAATCCCAGCTTGAGTCTTTAGGGCATACTCTTGAACCTACTGCTCCGGTCCCAATGGATATTTTTGGTACTCCCCGACTCATCAAAGGGAAGCTGAGTCCTGCTGAGAAGCAATATTAAGTATCTTAGAATCTTTGCCTCTACTATGCTGATCTTAATCACAAAGCGGCTATCTGTCCCAAGAAGCCTCCCCGACTACTGGAGTTCACTTTGCCTCAACGTCCACCTTTGTTGCCATCGGGAAACGACCCTGTCCAAACAGAGTAGGAGCTGTCTGTTTGGACTCCTCAAATAAAAATCACTTTTCTTCTTTATCAAACTCCTCACGACCTTTCATCAAAGCCAACACCAATTCTTGCAACTTCTGCATCCCTTGTCTCCTTTCTTTCACTGGACAATCAGGACTCAAGGCTCTGGCGCTATTGGACTCGGGTGCAACTTTCAACTTCATGGACATGAACTTTGCTACCCGACATCACGTTCCTGTTTCTCCTACCATACAGGATCTGAGGGTTGAAGGCATCAACGGGCATTTTTTGTCTCCATCTTCTAGACTTAGGGAACCATTGCCCATTCGAGTACACATCGGGTCCACCGTCACTGATATTACCTTCAACATCATCAACAACAAGTCCTCCTTTGTGGTCCTTGGCCTTCCTTGGTTCCAATTGCACCAGCCTTAAATCTATTGGAAGGAATTATAGGTCGTCTCTCCCACGTCACCATCTCCCACATCTTCCCCTGTTATTCATCGAGTCCAAATCAGAAAAAGTTCCCTAAGCTCAAATTAGGGTTCTATTCCCAATTCTATGAAGTTTTCACCGTCTTTGCTCCCTATCCCTCAATCTTCTTTTCCCTCTTTTCAATCTTACACTAGACAGTATCCTTGTCCCATCATTCCATTTAGTTGTACGCCTCCTCCTATCTCCACAATTACTTTGAATGAACTCCTTCACAAAGAACATGTTTTCCTTTTTGCTTTGCATATTTCTCCTGTCAATCTTCCTGAGAAGTATCATGATTTTAGGGATGTGTTTGACAAGATAAAAGCTAGTGTACTACCTATTCATTGGCCTTACAACTGTCCCATTGATTTATAGGA